CCCCCTGCTGCCCCCGCTAGGCTGCCGTGCTGCAGGCGGCTTTCCGGGCGCATCCGGCACGGGCGAGGCCATTGTCTAGCGGAGTGTGCAGCCCGGACCCCCCTGCCGTGCCAAGCCCTCCCACCCAGGTAACCCTCAGGGGCTGCATACGGGCCCAAGTCCTAACGTTCTCTCTCCATTTCTTCCCACGCTTTGTCAGCGGGACAAGCGCAGACGCCTTTGGGTCCTCGCGTCCTGCCTCGCCCTCCAACCCCTGGCACCTGTGCCCCCCCCAGGGTTGAGCTTCAGGAGCCAAATGGCGTTGAGGTGCTGGGACATCGAGTACCGTGTCCATCTTGGGGTCAAGACAGAGGCTTAAACTACAGCAAAGATAGGAGTCCCTCCCCTGTGAAAACCACCAGACACCGATTCTAAGAATCTCTAGAGTCCAAGTAACCCGCAGTCAGGAAACTGCTGACGAAATAGTTAGTAACGAGGGTAGCCACCCGAATCGGAATTGCGCTCCTAACCTGGCGCCGAGGGTCCACACGTAGGAGGTGGCGGGGGTTCACGCGGTTCTCTTCCCCACCGTCGCTGCCCCAGGACTCGCCCGAGCCCCGCGTCCCGAGCCCTGTCGTCCAGGCCGAGGGGGACCCATGGCAAGAGGAGGCCATCACCATCATCCAGTCTGCCTTCCGGGCACACCTGGCACGGGCCAGGCACAGGTAAGTCCACCTGGCAGGCCTACCTCTGTTCTGTATCGCAGGGCAGTGCCAGACACCTGCGGGGGCTGCCCAGCCAGAAAGGCACAGGGTGTGTCACCAGAGCATAAGCTACACTCACCCACCCGGGTGAGGTGGGCCACAGGTTCCAGTCCTCGGAAAGAAGCCTTTCTAGGACCGTTTCCCCCTGCTGGGAGAAAACAAATGGGAGGGGTTAGATACCGTGCGGTTCAGGGAGCCCTCGGGTTGCAGACTGCCTGTCGGCCTGTGCCGATGCCCTGCCCCTTTCTGAAGGACACCATGGCGTGACCCGGGTTCAGGAAGATGTGGGTGTCGTCAGAAGCCTTTCTGCAGCAACACATTCTTGTCAGTGGCGCCATGCCTGCCGGATCCGCCGGGGCTTGGTCGGGACTGTCCCGGCTGCAACGGCTCAGAACCCTGTATGAGTCACCTCGGGCAAAGAGTGGGACTTACAGCGGGCCAGGGGCCGAGCTCGGGTTGGGGCCCGTCCCTGGTGCAGCCAGCCACGGCCGGGGGTGCAGGGGACACGCCCGAGGCCCCTCACAGGGACCTGGGCCCGCCGGCCTCGCACGATGTCTCAGGACCTGGGCCCGTCGGCCTCACACGATGTCTCAGGACCTGGGCCCGTCGGCCTCGCACGATGTCTCAGGACCTGGGCCCGTCGGCCTCGCACGACGTTGGCCTTCCCTAAAGTCAGAATCAGCTAGTCTCTCTCTCTCTCCCAGTGCTGCTGGTCCAAGAGCTGCCACTGCAGCGTTTCCCGACAGACCGGCTTGCGCCCCACACAGTGCACCCTCCTCTCTGCCCTTCCCTGCAGCCTCTCCTGGTAATTGCATTTCACTTTGGATTTCACGCGAGGGGCAGCTGGCCTTCCGAGGTTTCAGCCAAAAGAGCCGCCACCGTCCCAGAAGTTGGGACGTGTAAAGTCGTGTAAGGGGGCTTGTCCCGCGGCCACCTGCGAGCTGGGTAACGCCTCGGCCACACCTTCCTGTCACTGCTCCGTCCCTGTCCCTTGGGTCGCAGGGGAAAGAGCCGGCCCCAAGCGACTCCCCAGAGCCCGACAGGCTGGCCGGTTCCGGGCTCAGTGACCACAGGCCACGCAGTCGGAGCTTCGTGGTTTTGATTTTTATTCTCAGCTCTAACTAGAGCAACGCGGTGTCCCTCCTTTGGGCCAATGTTTTTCCTGTTTGTTGGTTTTAAGTAAAACTTTGCTTGTATTTCCTTTTCTGCTTCATTAAGATCCAATAACTGTCAGTGGAGAAATCCCTGGACTGGCAGGGGCGCACAGCCCATGGTGAGGCCCGGTCCCAGCTCTGCCCCACTCCAGACTCGGGGTCCTCCCCGGGGCTCCCTCCTCCCGTGCGAGAGCCCGAGGGTTGAGCGAGGCCCCTTGCAAGTCGCTTTCAGTCCCCAAAAGTATAATTCTGCCTGTATTTCGGGTCCTCCCTCCCTCAGACTGTAACCGGGACACTTGCTTGGACCATCTCTGTACGCCAGAGGTGGCGGTGTGAGGTCAGGGACTGTCGCTAGACACCGCAGTCTTGAGTCTCGTTTGCGAGCGTGGCGCGCAGGCTGAGTTCTGAGGTCGCAGAGGTGCAGTCGGAGAAGGGCAGGCGCAGGAAGGGCATGGTGCTTCACAGCGAGGGAGAACTGCAAAAGGAGCCGTTTTTCTGAACAGAAGTGTCAGCCTGGGAAGACGGGTGGGTGCCACGAGCCTGTGAGGATGGGAGCCTCCCGCGTGCCTGTCGTTTCAGGGCAGGAAGACAGCGAGGGGAGCAGCGGGGAGACCGCGGAGGCTCTGGCTCCCGGGGACGGAGCACCGAGGCCATGGGGGCCAGGGGCACCGGCAGCCCCGCCGCCCTGCTCTGGTAAGTGTCGGGTCGCGGGGGCCCTTCCGGGGCTTGCCTGAGCTGGAAACCGCCACGTGTGAAAAATCGCACTCTGTCCCGTTCGGTCATCTTGTCTGGCTTTGTCAGAGCGAACTTTGAACTTTGAGGTTCTGTCCAAAACCTCCGTCTGTAAAGCTCCCCAAGGGCTGCATAATATTCTCCAAAAACCAGTTTCAGTCTGATTTCACCAGACCCTACGTTTGGCGACCTTTAGATTCTTCGATCAGGGCTAAAGTGTCTGTGTATGCCGCCCTTTTCTCCTCCTGTTAAATGCTTGTCCTTGCAAAGTGGCAGCTCATCATCCTGCCTGAAAAGTGCCACCGCCGGCCTCGTTCGGGCCCTTGTTTACACGAGGAAACGGTCTCTGTGAAAACTGAACAAGCCCTTGTTTGATCTGATTGTGAAAGTGTTTTTAAAGGGAAAGAAAAACCGAAGCTAACCTTGAAAACTGATGTTTTTAATTTCATAAGGTTTTCCACTCTCATAGTTTTCTTGACAGTTACAGAAAAAAAGCTGACACAGTTACAGTATCTGCAGCACGCCGGGTGGTGATTTCCTTCCCTCTTTTATCTCAAGTCAGGGACTCGTTCCTTTTTTACTGGCACTTTGTGAAGCAGTCAGAGCAGAGGCCCTCTTCTGGGGCTGGGAGCACGGGCCCCAGGCCCCAGGGGGAACTGCCCCTTCCTCACATCCCATCCAGGTGGCCACTGAGGGCGGAGGGGGTCTGCAGGGTGGTCGGCAGGCGCATCCCAACCTAGGGTCGATTACGATTATGGGATTTGAAGAGTTCAGATGTGCGTGAAGAAAGGAGCGGCGAGAGCTCGCGGGTGGTCCCTGAGTGTTGGCCTGGCCTGGCCCTCCCCGTCCTCCTGCGGGGGGGCGTGTCCTCCCAAGGAAGCCGGGGGCCACCGGCTGCATCTGCCCACGAGTCACAGCCGGGCCGCCCGGGCCGCAGACTCCCGGACGCACGCTGCCGTGAGGGCGACGTGCAGAGAATCCCCGCCGCCGCCGACTTGAGCCTCCCCCGTGCCGCCAGCCTTCACCTTTCGCGGCTGTTTTGCTTTGGGGAAACTGGCCGACGCTTGGGAGCTGAGCGCAGAGGGTGCGAGTAGGCCCTAACGAGGGTGGCCGCGTGGCGTGGCGTGGCGTCCGTCAGGCCTGCCCCGCCGTCCCTCGCGTGTCCGCCCCCGGCGGCGCTGAGCGTGGCTGTGACCATCGTCCCTTCTCTGTTGCAGCGCAGCCCTCTCCCTCGGGGCTGCAGCGCGCCGCGACTCCACCCGCGGAGGACGTGAACTCCGACGACTCCGACGAGATCGTCTTGGCTCCGCCTCTGCCCACGAAGAAAATCGCCTCCCCGCCCTAGGTCCCTGCGGTCGCCCGGCACGTGGCGATGCCCTGTCCGGGCAAAGGTTAGGTTCAGAGGACAGAAGCACTCAGACCGGAAAGGAATTTATCTTGTGAGGAGGACGGCACCTACTCGACACCTCACCTCCGTCCCCGGTTTTTCTCTTTCGTTTTGCCCGTTTGCTTGTTTGTTGAGGGAACCCCGAATGCCTCTCTTTTATCTCTGGGAAGGGGTCGCCTACGTTCCGCACCCCCGGCTGCAGGCCTGCGCCCTCCCCCCGCCCGGTGGTCTTCATGCCGGACAGACACACCTGCCCGGGCTGGGGGGCAGCAGGGGGCACGGCCGAGACACGTCCTCTCGGGGCACCTCTGGCCACCTGCGGCCGTGCAGGCGAGGGCTGCTTCGTGGGCGCTGACGCCACACGGCCGCCGGCTCCAGGACAGGCAGTGCGCCTCAGGGGAGAGCTGATGCGAGAACCCTCGCTCTCAGCCCGAACGGAGGGCCCTGCGCACCGCGGAGCGCTTAGTCCCGGGCCACCCCTCCGCCTCCCCGTCGCCAGCGGGACCCCGGCGCCCCGACGGCGCGGCAGCCCTTCTTGTGTTGCACCTCAGGGGCTCCGGCTCAGACTTGTCCTTCTTTCAGAAACTCCTGGGCCCTCCTCACAGCGGTCAGAGGCTCCCGGCTCCAGCACAGGCGAGGCGTGTGGCCAGGAGGATCTGTGTTGCCCTGTCCCGTGAGAGAGGCGGAGGGATCTCCCAGCCCCGGCCACCCGGAGTCAGGCAGGGGACCTGCCAGCCCCTTTCACCGCTTAGGTGCCGGTCATACAGTGGGTTGAAGAAAGTTCAGCCAGGGGGCCAGGCTTATGTCATGTTTTCTTTATTCGGCCCGTGAGTTACCAAGTCCGTTTATTCTTCTGTTTCCCCCGCTGGACTGATGGCTAACTCGAGTGAACTCGCTGCTGACCTTTGCCTTGTTTCATCCACTGGGTCTGTTCCTCCTCTGGGTGCCGGCTCAGCTAAAGGCCTGTAGGAGCCAGTCCACCAGTCAGGCACCCAGAGGGTGATGAAGGCGATGCCCGCGGCCTGCAGGTCCCCAGGGGGTCATTCTCCCCCCCGCCACCACCCCATTCAAAAACGGGCATTTCTGCATTACTCCTTGCTCTCAGGAGCCCAAGGCTCTGGGGACCTATGACGGATGGGTCACTGTCAGGACGTCCTCACCTGGTCCTGGAGGAAAAGGCCGTGTGTGCAGCGGGCTGGCCGTCGGCAGAGCTGGGATGGGCAAGGTCAGCCCCGGGACCTGAGTTTTCCAAGAAAATGCTCCTGAGAATTGCGGATATGTACATTTGTCTGCCTGTGCTCCTTGGGCCCAGCAATGTTGATCAAGTAAAAGTAAGCAGTCTTGAAGCCACCTCAGTAAATGACTTAACTCAAGGCTGTGACCCTCTGACGCTGTGTGGATCTGTTCCCTGGAGAATGCCAGGCGCCCAGCGTGCTTGCGGGGCCCACGGCTCGGGGCTGGGGTTCTAGGGCTGCCGGAGCAGCACAGGGCGGGGTGGGACAGGGGCCTGGGGCCTAGAGGGCCTGCCTTCTTGCCCGCCTCTGTGCTGCCCCACTGGACGGGCCCGGCCGCCCTGCAGACAGACCAGAGCCCTCGTCCCAGCAAAAAGACTGATGGCATTAGGAAAAGGACGGCCACCTAGCTCAGAGCAACCAGCGTGAGAGCTGCAGAGCTTTGCTTCGTTTTTAAGTAATAAATACCCTCTGCAGAAAGCCCCGTTCACCTTCAAGAGCTGAACAGAATTTTAATTCCACGAGAAGCCATCTAAGCCAATTCAAACCCCCCCTGTGGTTTTGGAAGCAATGTTTGCTCTCGTGTGGCTCAGAAATTCTGAGGACTGGAGAGTGGACACTCAGACCTGCCCGAGGCCGGCCGGCAGCTGCTCCAGTTGAGGACCTCCCCGAGCTCCCAAGGGCCTGTTAGCAGCTGATCACGCCGAGTAAGCATCCTTTGAAGCGAGAGAACCCACATCTGGGAGTTGAAATGTGAAGCCATCAGGTGGCTCCAGGAGGTAGTGGTGGACTCGCTGGTCTTCGACCTTTGTATTGAGGAACACTCTGACCTACGCGTAATTTGTACACAAGTCTCTTGGAAGGCATAAGTTTTTCCCTCTGTGCTACTCATCGTTGGCCTTTGTAAATAAAAGCTGTTTTGCAGGGTCTTTGTCCTGATTGCCCTATAAACCCGTGACCTTTCATGACCTCTGGGTGTGTGCCATTGCCGTAGCTCATGCTGCACAAACCCCGTGCTTCTGGGCTCCTGGCTTTTGCTTCGTTCACAGCACAGCCCTGGGAGCGCAGAGCCGGCCAGAGGGAAGGGTCCCACAGCCAGCTCCCCGCCGTGCGGGAACTCGTGCATCCGTCTTTGAATTTCTCTTCCTTGTTCATCAGTGAGGACTTGAGCATCAAGGAGTGAAAATGAGGGAGTATTTCCCCCAATTCTAGTTTTTGTTTTAGGAGCAGGGAAGGAATAATTTACTGGGGACTCAAACAGACGTGAATGAGCCCAAAAAGTCGACTTCTGGAAAAATAATTGTCGTCCACTATTTTGTTGGAAAATCGCAGCACGAGGCGCACCTGTGGCTTTGTTTGCAGGCGGCTGCTTGCTGGGCCCTCGAATTTGTCTGAAGCCCTTACAGGGACTGGTCTGTTGGCTCCAGCACTGGCCCGAGCGGATCACCGTGTGTCTTGTCACGGGCAAATGGGTCACTTGGAAGGCTTGGCGCTTTCAGAGGTGCTGGTTGGCCCTTGAAGAGGTTGTGACAGAGGAGAGCAGGGTTCATCAAACCCTTAGCCCGGCCACAAGCCTGCTGCCACCTGCTCTCCCGTGAGGCTGGGGTCTGGCAGCAGAGAGGCAGCCTCAAGGGAGGCGGGGTGGGGGTCTCAGCTGGAGCTGGTGAGAGGAGAATGGAGGACGGTCCCCCCTCGGGCCTTCACCCAGCAGGAGAGACGGCAGGAAGGTGTAAACGTGTGGACACGTAACTCGTGCACAGACACATGGGATCCCTCTCTCCACTCGTGCCACTGGCCTTCCTTGCTCTTGGCAGCTCTTCACTTCAAAGGTGGAGCCCAGCTTGGTCTGCACATGAGCCTCCGTAGCTGAGAGTGACCCCCAGGCCTCCGCCAAGATGATTCCGAACGTGAGGATCCTCAAAATCGCAGGCTAAGGGGGGAAAATGTCAGAATGCAGATCCCTGGTTTCTCTTAGCTGCTGTTGGGTTCAGAGCATGAATGTTGGGAGGAGGAACGGGTCCGTGTTTCTTTGCTTGGACGCCAGCCAGTGGCCTTGGGCCAGCGCCTTCCGTTATCCTGGGAGCCCTGCCGGGCAGCGACAGCCCAGAAGGTGGCCCCATTAGACAGTGCCTGCCTGGGGAATCTGGGGGACGTTTCCATGGTGCTGTGTCCTTTCTGATCAGGGAGAGGGGGTGCCCCTGAGCTATTCGTTAATTAAGCCCAGAACAGCCTGGGATTCAAAGCAGAGCGTCCCGCGTGTGCCAAAGCTCCCGGGGCGGCCATTCAGGCAGCCCCCCCAGCCTTCCCCTCCGGCCCGGCTTTGAGGGAGTGAAAGCCGGGCAGCCCGGGGGTAGGTGGGCCATGGGCGCAGCTCATGGAAGTGACAGAAAGCCGCTGTCCCTGCTAATAGCAGCCTCATCCACGGTCAGCCGGTCTCACAGGGCGCCCCCCGCACCCCACCCCGCTCAGCTCTGTGACAGCCGCTCTCTCTGCAGCTGGGGACGCAGTGGCCCCTTCCCCACCCCCTCCCCGTTGGCATGGTTTTTCTCCCGGCCTGTACCAGCCCTTCCCCTGCTGTCTCTTAGACGGGGGCGTCCCCAAGGCTCTGACCCCAGCCAGACCCCACCCAGACCCGAAATGTCGACATGGACATCTGCACACGTGTGCCTCAGGTGCCTCAAACTCGGCCTAGCCCAGCTCTCAGTTACCTTTGCCCCCTAACCTGCCCCTGGCCAGCAGTCCCACCCCAGGAGATCACAGCCTCTCAGTTGTCGGAGCCGGAACCTTGAGGGCAGGATGCTCAGTGAAATAAGCCAGACACAGAAGGACAGATACTGTGTGATTCCACTCCTAGGAGGTCCCTGGAGGAGCCAGGTCCATAGAGACAGAAAGTAGAGGGTGGGTGCCCGGGGCTGGGGGAGGGGGAGGGGAGTGAGTGTGTAACGGGGGCAGAGCCTCAGTTTGGGAAGACGGAAAAGTTCTGCAGATGATGGTGGTGATGGTTGCACAACAATGTGAATGTGCTTAATACCCCTGAACTGGACACTTTAAAACGGTTAAGATGAGAATTTTTTGTTATATGTATTTTACCCCAATTTAAAAAAGTGTTTTAAATGACACAATTCTCCCCTCCCAAGCAGGCTCACCCGCAGGCCTCCTCACCCACCCCAGCATCATGTGCACAGGCCGGACACCTGGGTAAGGAGTGTCATCCGTGACCCCCTCGCCACCACCTCCAATCCTTCAACAAAAAAATCCTGTCGACTTAACCTCCTAAGTACGGCTCACGTCTCTCCACTCCTCTCCATGTCCATCCCTGCCCACAACAGCCCAAACCACCACCTCAGCCTCCCCTGAATAGCCACGCCCCCATGACCAGTCAGCTCAGACTCACTCTGGCCAGGCCCCATCTGCTGTCCACTGCTGCCTGGGGTTAGGGGGCAGGAACGTGGCGGATGTGCCGGGGATGGTGCCTTGCCCTACGAGAGCCAGCAGCCCTTGCTCCCTGGAGATGCCCAACCCAGATGTGGCTGGTGCATCACGACTCCCCCCAGGGCCTCCTGCGGCCCCTGGCATGATCGCTGGCGGCAGGGATTCACTCAGCAGACTTCTGCTTCTCTGTGTAAAGCCAAGATTATTTGATTGTTGTCTGACTCCCCTATCAGACTCTCTAAGAGAAACTCCGCACTGAGTTTGTGATGCTTATTGCTGTTCTCAAGGCCTAAC